ATAAAAGAAGTCAAAAACGAAACGTTCAAATCTTACTTGAGTAACCTTTCAGCAACAAAAGACTATGACTATTCGTTATGGAAGGCTACAAAACAAATGAAAAGACCTAGAGCCTATGTACCACCAATTCGCAAGGAAGATGGATCATGGGCACGTTGTGACCAAGACAAAGCTGAAATGTATGAACGTCATCTGGAACATGCATTTCAGCTGAACAATATCGCTTCTGAACTCGATATAGAACAGAATCAACCATTGAGCGAAACACGCAAAAAGATTAAGTACTTTACTCCAATTGAAATTGCTAAAGAAATCGATACGAATATCAATATAAAAAAAGCACCGGCTTTTATTTGGCTACGACCAAATAAACCCGAAAAATGAAAATACTGAAAGAACTACCCAAAAAGGCTATGATTCATCTAACATACATCTACAATGCCATCCTGCGTACAGAATACGTTCCTAAACAATGGAAACGAGCTCAAGTCATCATGCTACTTAAAACAGGAAAACCTCCTGAACAAGTAACTTCATACAGACCTATATCGCTTCTTCCAAGCTTATCTAAATTATTCGAAAAATTACTTTTAAAGCGTCTAAAACCAATAATAGAAGTAAAACAGATTATTCCTGAACACCAGTTCGGATTCCGGAGTAAACACTCAACAATTGAACAGGTCCATCGTGTCACAAATATAATAAACAAGGCACTGGAAGAAAAAAAATACTGCTGTGGAGTATTCCTCGATATTGCGCAAGTTTTCGATAAAGTTTGGCACAAAGGATTACTTATTAAGCTACTCGAACAATTGCCGCATACTTGGTGCGCACTTATCGAGTCCTATCTGTCTGAACGTCAGTTCAGAGTTATTCACGAAGAAGCAATAACTGACTGGAAAAACATATCAGCTGGAGTACCCCAAGGAAGTGTCCTCGGACATATTTTGTACTTACTTTACACAGCTGACATTCCAGTTAACAAATATTCAATGACAGCCATGTTTGCCGATGACACAGCAATATTGGCAACTGATGAAGATCAGCAGACTGCGACTGATCAACTTCAACGAACACTTAACAACGTATACAACTGGACTAAGCGTTGGAAAATCAAAATTAACAGTGACAAATCGGTACACGTAAATTACACTTTGCGTAAAAGAGTTTATTGTCCAGTAATGTTGGATCAACAGATCATCCCACAGAACGATGCTGCAAAATATCTAGGAATGCACATTGACTCGCGATTAAACTGGAAACATCACGTTCGACAGAAAAAGTTGCAAATTAAAGATAAATTGAGGAAACTTTAATGGCTAATCGGAAGACACTCTGAACTAGACCTTACAAGCAAACGTCTTTTGTACGTAGCGATAATAAAAACAATATGGACCTATGGAATACAAATTTGGGGTTGTGCCAGTAAGTCCAATATTGAGATTATTCAACGCTGTCAAAACATTGCTCTCCGTACTATTGTCGCGGCGTACCGGTACGACAGAAATGACACTATCCACCGAGACTTGATGATGCCCTCAGTCCAGAACGAGATTACAAAGTTTGCCCGAAAACACGAGACAAGGCTAGATCAACACACCAATCCAGCAGCAATTCAACTACTTGACAACTCTCAAGACATAAGGCGTCTCAAACGCCGAAGACCATATGACTTAGTATAAAATGTTAGACTAAGACCGGGCCTCTCCATTGGGAGTGATAACCCAAACATGTTTTTGTATATATATATCTAAAAAATATTATTCATTAGTATCTTATATTTATGTATACCTCTGAAATGTATTGTTAAAGATCATTGATCGCTATAATAAAAAAAGCCATCAGGCAGTTTTCAAAAAAAAAATATATAATATTGTTAATATAGTTAATATGACCATCCCATTTAAGTCCTATAATCAATAACCAGACCAAGGTATTTTAACTTTTTCAAATTTTTAAGTTCGACACATTGAAATGCATTTTAGAGGATGGACTTTCAAACTGTTTTCATTTAAAATATTATCAATCTTTTGTGCACTATAGCAAATTTTTATTTTTTAAATTTAGCTCTAGTTTTTCTAACTGAACCTAAAAAAATTAAACATAATCAAAGGGTTTTTGTATATAGGAACCTATCTAAGAAGATGCAATTGCAATTCACAACATAATACAAATATACACAGTAACATGGTAACTTTAAATACCAGTTAAGCAGTTTAGCCAAACTGTTACAGATCTAAAACCAAATTTTTTGTTAGAAATACAATTTTTTTTTTTTAAAGTAATCTAATTTTTATGCATTGTTCAAAAATATATGACAATGTTAAAGATAATGAAATTGGTCGATAATTTCCACATAATTACCAGCCTTAAATGATGGAATTACAACACATCTTTTTAAAATCTGAAGGGTATTAACCAGTTAATATGGAAATTGACTAAAAAATAATTGACAATGGTATTCAGAAGTTTATTTAAGTACCTATGTATTTAGTTAAATCATTTTCATAAGAAAATTATAATCAGTAATATGATTTAGGTGTTCATAATACAATTTCTTCACTATTAATAGGTTTAAAGAAGATACTATCATTTATAGTTCCATTATAATCATTTAAGGAAATATCATGATTTATGTGCTCAATTTATAAATTATTTCCAACATCCCAACTTTAATAAAAAAATTAATTTAACTCAATTAAAATTTCTGCTTTTGATTCAGTAAAATTATACCGTCTTCGTTTGTAATATTATTAATGATATTTAATTTATTTTCACATAAATTATAACATTTTATATTATCTTCTTTAATTCCTACCTACCCATATGGTTACCTATAATATGGCTGTATGATATTATTATTGATTTGTTTTTAATAAATAATAACTTAGTTATAGTTAGGGACTTAGGGTACAACTAGAAAATGATACAAATGTAAAATTCATATAGGTAGTAAACAATATTAAAAATTAAAACAGCTTTGAAAATAACTTGGTTCAGATCAGTGATGTATTTACGGAGGGGATCAAGGGGATGGGCCTAACCATTGGCTGTGGGTAACATGAGCATTTTTTCGGAGTCCTAACTTAAAACCTCCAACTTTAAAGGCGGGGCTACTGGATAAAATCATATCCCCTCCACCCCACTCCATGATAAAAACCTAAATACGCCACTGCTTCAGACTATAGTAGAGGAAGAAAATAGTAAATACCAACTTACATATTTTATTATTAAAAATCAAAAATTTGTTGGATTAGTTTTATTTTTACTTATTTATAAAATAGTCCTGAAAATATTGGAAAATAAAACAAACTAACATTTTTTTTAGAATATTCTACATTTACTTTAAAATTAACAAGCAACTTTACATCTATGGTATTATAAAACTATAATAGACACCTACTAAATTCGTAAAAACAATAAATAATGCACCAAGTCAGTATTTTAACCAACTTATTTTTTTTAGGTATCTCCTATCTAGCAATATTATACGTTTAGGTAGAGATGTAAGATCGGTAAATTTATACCTAGTAAGTATACGGATGAATTAAGCAGTTTTTTTTTTCAGGTAAATATTTTTAAACGAAAAAATTTAGCATATGGCACCTCAAATTAAACGTCTTATTGAGGCCAATATTCATCACTCATAACATATTAATAGAATGGGATAGTTGATAATATAAATATCCAAACTATTTCAATTCCAACAAAAGCACTTATATAAGGAATAATTATAATACATGCATGCAAAATAAAATATTTTCTGAAACTAATTAAAAATGTAGACATTTTTAAAAAATTATTTATTAAAATAAAATTTGTTTTTTCTTTAAAATATTAGTAGGTAATATTAAACTTTTTAGGGCTTTGGGGCACCGGTTAAACTTATCTAATTATGTTCAAATTTCCTGTACATAATTTTTATAAAGGTATATTGGAATCTAATTAGGCGGATCGGAAACTAAAATTTAAAAATTTACCTATTAAGGACTACCTTTATTGAACACCTTACTATCCAGTAAATAAAAAAAATAAATGTTACTATAATTATAAGCTCATGAAAATTTAGCAGTGTAATGTATGTGTTATCATTTTGTTACATAACCTTAAAATGTATAATAAAAGATTCATTCGTATCAAGACTGTTGTGTTATAAACTTGTGCGTTTCTCCCCAATACTCTAATACAGTACATTGGCGACGAGATTATGTGAAACCACGTGAGTAATTTTTTTTGAAAATTACGTTGCAAGATTCTGTGAAAAGGTCAAGATGACAGCAAATAACAGTGGTAATGTATCCAACCGGAACAATAACTCAGGGCTATCAGGTCAGATTTCGGAATTCGATATTAAAAATGATGATTTTAGCGCTTGGATAGAGAGATTTGAATTATTCGTGTTGTTAAATGAGGTGAACACACATAAAAAAAAATTAATGTTTCTTACATTTTTGGGTAACGACGGATACTCATTGTTAAGAGACCTGTGTATACCGAGTAAACCGATTGATAAAGGTTATGACTCATTAAAAGAGCTATTGTCAAATTATATTAACCCGAAACCGAATTTATTGACTGAACGATATAAATTCAAGGAGAGGAAGCAGGGATCGGATGAGACAATACACCAGTTTGTTACATCATTGAAGAAACTTTCACAATTTTGCGAATTCGGTGTAAATTTGGACGACTCGTTAAGAGACCAACTAGTATATGGTATCAAAGATATTAATATTAAAAAGCGTTTGTTGTCTGAAACTAAATTAACATTCAAAAGAAGTGTGGAGCTGTGCTTATCAATTGAAGCGGCAGACAAGGATGTGTCAAAATGGGAAAACCATGCGTTGAACTATCAGAGAAATATGATGACAAAGAGCAACAAAGCAGTCAAGGATTGGGGCAAAGGAAGACAGAAAACTGAAAATAAGGAGTCATCGAACTACAAGGGTGTGTCTGGCAAGATTGTATGTTTTTGTTGTGGTGTTGCTGGTCATACTAAACCAAATTGTAAGTATAAATCACTTGTTTGTTCCAACTGTACCAAAGTAGGACATTTAAAAAAAGTTTGTAAAAGTAAAAATAAAAAGAGTAATGTTAACTTATTAGAACAAGTGAATAATGACTTAAATGATGATTTTGGTGATTTAAATATTATGGATAATATTTACCTTTTAGATTCTGTTGACTGTAATTTTATTAAGCCATTTAATATTAAATTGAATGTGGAAGAAAATTTAATTAACTTCCAAATTGATACCGGATCCTCTATTACAGCTATATCATATGATGAATTTATTAGAGGTAAATTTAAGTCTAAGGATTTAATTAGCAGTGATATTAGTTTAAAAGGATACACTGGTACTTTAATTGAACCAGTAGGGTTTTTAAGGATGGAAGTGTTATTTAAAGACCATGTTGTCCAGAATTTGAAATTATATGAAATTAAAGGAGGTGGTCCGCCTATTGTTGGTAGAGATTGGATTGATAGATTGTCAATACATTTATCAAGTAAAATTTATTCACTTACATCTTATAATCATGATAGTATTTTTGAGGAATTTCCTTCAGTATTTAGTACAGTTTTAGGATGTTATAAACCAAAAACTTTTAAATTATATTTAAATGATAATGTAAAGCCAGTATTTTGTAAGCCGAGGGTTTTACCTTTTACATTAAAAGATAAAGTTAGTAAGGAAATAGAGAGACTAACCAAAGAGAAATTGTTAATTCCAGTGGAGACATCAGATTGGGCTACTCCAGTAGTTCCAGTAGTGAAAGGTAATGGCACTATTCGGTTATGTGGAGACTATAAGGTGACCTTAAACAAATTTCTTAAAGTAGATAGATACCCGATTCCAAGAGTTAGTGACTTAATGGCTACGTTACAGGGAGCATCAAAATTTTGTATTTTAGATCTGTGTCAAGCTTATCAACAATTATTATTAGATGAAGAGTCTCAAAAGTTAACTACCTTATCAACTCATAAAGGGCTATATGTATTTAAACGCATACCGTATGGTATAGCATCTGCACCTGGTATTTTACAGCGTGAGATGGTAAATGTACTAAGAAATATTGATGGTACAGTGGCATTTTATGATGACATTATTATATCTGGTAAATCAGAAAATGAAGTTTGTTATAGGCTTAAAGAGGTATTAAGCAAATTGAGTTTAGTTGGATTTACTGTTAAGAAAGAAAAATGTAAGTTGTTTAAAGATAGTGTGACTTTCTTAGGTTATAAGATTGATAAAGAGGGACTTCATGTTCCCGAAACTAGAATCAAGGCTATAACTGCAGCACCTATTCCTTGTAATATTTCTCAGTTAAAGGCATTTTTAGGACTAGTTACTTATTATGGTAAGTTCATTAAGAACAT